AGCAAGCGGAGAAGTCCATTTACCCGTTTGCCCTTGTTATTGTCTCATTTGCTGATTTACATGACTTCCGTAAACGTAATATTTCGTCGCGCCTGGTAGATTTTTTTTTTTTTTTGAATGTCCAACGGGATGATAACTTGTTTGGCATAATAATTTCATAGAATTTCGATAAAGAGGCCACCTCACTTGTGGTTTAGTGGCCCCATAAAGCTGAGGTTATAGTTAATATGGTATAATTTGATCAGAATTAGACAAAATCAAATCGTGAAAATCTCGACGGTTATTGCTGGGGCTAGAGCACAAAATTGCTCCGCGCTAATTAATAATTAACCTAGTTATGCTGTCAATCTATTACATAATTCAATCATTTTCATACCTAATATTCTTTTCCCCTCTGCCAGCATCATTCAATTTAAGTACAAGGGGAATAATCACCCACGAAACAAAAAAAAGGAATCATTTGTCAATGTTACTCCCATGACTTATTTTACATATATATTAGGCGAAAGAATTTAGAGGACGCGATTACCAATTACAAAAAACCAGGCCTCTTGGAGTTTGCACTGTAGCTTACGTAAGGAGAGCAAACTGGGGGCTGTTGCAGGATATTATAAACGATCATAATCACTGGTAACATATCTTTCTAAATCTTCACCTAAAACTCGGGCATGTGGTCAAATTATATATAAATAGAATTCTTAATCAGCGTGTTGATTTCATTATTAAAAGTAAACTTAAATTTCATCCTGTTCATCATTATTAATCATGGACTACCTTGGCTATGCTCATTAATCTTATCTTACATCCTCTTATTATTTTAACACCCCGTCGTACAGACAAATGTAACGAAAATTTATCTGTATTATGAACCATCGTTGGATTTCTTCACTGGTAAAATTTCGGTGACAAAAACAATTAATTGCAGCTTGCTAGGTGATTACAAAGTGAACCTTTTTGTACCTAATGAACACGTTAGTGATGATATTATTATAAAATAGCTAGTTGTCACAAATCTTTCTTAATCCCCACCTAATAATATTCAAGCATCGGTCAACATAAATGTATGCTGTGCAATCAATGGCATTAAGGACAAACCGCTAATTAAGATCAAAACTTCAACCAGTGAATCATTTACACAGTGCTGTTATTCATCCATCCTTACCATTTCGAAACATGATTTTTGGTGATCCCTTCATGTTTCTTTGTCTTGCAGGCGAAGAAAAGCGTCCCCAGAAAATATACGTATTTCAGCTGTTAAAACTCACTTATAAAAGTGTGAAGAAGAAGCCAGAATTAACAAGGGATCTTTACTCCACGTACAATGCTCCAACAGAAGGAAGCACGTTACTTTTTTTCCTTTTCAAAAGCAGAAATAGATCCCTCATGGATCGATTCTATAATCAAATGTCCAACTATATATGGAATTACATTTACAATTCCAGATTCGTACATTGAAGAAGAAAAGATACTGCTGTGTTAGCTTCTTCTAACAAAATGTTAAGATGGGGCAGGTAGAGATGGAAGCTAAAAGTTGGTTTCGTGGAGCACCTACTGATATACCATGGAAAATAACACATGGGTTATGATGGTGCATCTATTTTGTCTCCAAATCATTTAGTAGTACAGAGACACCGAGTAGGGCTGCTGGGTTGGGTATAATGGGTGGTGAGCTTTCTAGATATCCTCTGCAATATGCTTTTAGTGTGCCTGCACATGTCATTGTAAGATTGGACATTCCACCTTATTCCACTCTAGTTATACTTCAACCCTAAGCTTGTCCACAGGTCTTCTTCTTCTTCACAGTGTTGACTCCTCTGTATTCTTCAGGAATAACACCGATAGTGCCATTGCTCCGGGTGCGTACCGTGTTCGAAGTGGGAAAAAAATTATTACGGAAAAATTATGCACCGAAAGGTGTAATAAATTGTCAGTTCAAATACATTATTCTTTTTTGGCCTGCTATTATAAGCAGTTGCCATGTTCGGATCAGTAATTATTTTAATCATTACATCATTTACTTGACATGTATATACAGACTCTTCTCTTATAAGCTCAATTTGCCTGCTTAACCAGACTACTTTGCTTTGAAAAAATAAAAATGCAGAAGCTTTTGATATAACATGAACATACATATATACACACGTATTGTTAAGTACAGAAAGCTGGTGGGACAATTCTAGAGTAATGTGTTTTTCTTTGGATTCTTTATGGAAGGACCCTTTTCACCATTATAATTTTCGGCATGGTTTATCATTACTGTGGTCGTTTGTTGGCCAAGGAAACTGCCAGGTAATGATCCAATTAAACACAGATGCTTTAGCTAATCATATCCACAATGATCACACACAGACTCCTTAGTTGACAATTATCATCTGCATGCAATTCAAATATATGTGGTCACGAAGCCACACTCATTATGTCATTGATTTTATTATGTAATTCACACTGCCAATAAAATTATGTTGCTATAATACCAATATCCATCTTGTGTTGTTTTTCTTTTTCCTCTGCCGTTGCCAAATATCGCAACCACCTCTGGTCTCTATTTCTTTTTTAAAAAAAACTTATAGTATTTTTACTCTGTTTTAAGGAGAATATAGACACGGATTGCTATAACTGATCATCATGCTAGCGGTTTGAATCTTCTGTACGAAAAATGAATTTCTAAGAGACGGACAAGATAGGGGAGAGGTGAGATATACACTTATCTGTTTATCACGAATATATTTTTCTGTCAAACAAGAGACCCCTTTCCTTGCTTGAATTTTGTTTTTTTGTGAATGATTTGGTTGCGTTTGGGTTTTTACTTGTGTTTAATAAAGCGTAATTTTTTATTTTGTTTTTTAGTTGCTCTATCCAAACCTCATCATGTAACGTCTTCTTGACAAATTAGAACCACTTTTTTCCATCCTACCGTGATATCAGATGTGATGGCATGATAGAATAGTAACCTTCTATATTGTTCAATTTTCATTTTATATTTTCTTTCAAGAATTTACTGACAATGTGTGTTAGCTCAAATAAAATAAAGCAGCTAGAAAGAGGACATGGTTTAACGTTCAAAAGTGCGAGCTAGTTAGATTCGCCTTTTAATAAGTGTTGCATAAATACGTTGAAGCAATTCGGTGCTAACGTTTAAGAATTTCCATTATTGAGCTTTAGTTAGAAGCGCTTAATGACACAATAACCGCACTGAAAAGCCCAGGACATCTCAGATAGTCAGAAGAAATACGAAGACTAAAAAGAGCAGGCGACAGGTCGTTTTACCGTAAACCGTTCAAAGTCCTTCCACTACAAGTTTTAGGTCGACTGAAGTAGGAACAGCGACCCCTATGGCTATCATGTAATGGAAATCTCACCTCAAACTGAGTATTGTGATATCCGAGGAACTTAAACGAATCATACATCCACCGACTTAACCATCCTCGACGGTGATGCTTCTACTACACTAGACATTCTGCTCATGCCCTCAAACGGTCCACATAGCTAGAAAATGACATTGCGATTAGAGAAGATCAAGAAAGAAAACGCACAAGTTTGAGCCTACCTCTTTGTTTATTGGGTGATCGTATCCATTTTGATTAAGCATAAAAAAAATTATTAACAGAGTTTAAGGTGGCCTGCCATTTCAATGAATAAATCATTTAGATATGTGCAATTTAATGGAACAGTAGGGGCATCCGGGAAGCATCTCATCATTTTAGCTCGTGAAAATCTGTCCACATTAAACGAATCGCATGTGTGCCTCTAATTCGATTGTTTTCGCTTAAGGGGTTATATCGTATGTCCTTACGGGAGAATCAATCCCAGGGGACATTGAAGACGTTGTCCCTTGGAACGATGAGTAACAGTGACCAGGGACCCGAGACAATTAATGTAACATGCTCATGGCCGAGATATTTGGTTATAGAGTGTTTGCTTTTTTGGTAAATATTTGGCTATAGTCTTGTAGATTTGATCAAGAGATAAAGAACCACAAAGAGGGAAAATGGGACCATCGTCCTCATTGACTCGTTGATGGTATTGGGCTAACCCCCCCCCCCAAAAAAAGACCACAAATGTGAAAGCCCATTATTTAAATATTGGACTTGTTCTTATTTTCAATAACAGACGCAGGCCTGCGATCCCAATGCTAACGGAACAGTAACTTCAACCCCTTCCCTCTCCACGTGGTTTTTGTCATGACAACTATTCGAATGCAAATTCAACGCCAGCAGAAACACTACAATGAACCAAAATTCAAATCCCGACCGAAAGAGGTGTCTGTATTTATGCTTTAGAAAAAAAAACGCTTTTGGGCCAAAAAATACGGTTTCTGCGTCAGCCCCATTATCGGGGGAATGAAAAAATCAACTCACACGGTTTCTCTTCAGCTTCAGTTAATTACTCAATTGGCAACCTTCCCCTCCTAACGGGGTCAAAGCTTAATGGCGATAGCTCAGTAACATCATCGTCACTCGCAAAAGCCCGTTGCGGTGGAGTGCTCAGATAATGGTAGGTGGATAGTGGGGTTTCCTCAATCTCCGAGGAAGAGCAATGTTCACAAGGTAGAAACATGGGGCACAGGTAGAGGCTGACGCTTGGTCTGCGACTTGGGCTCCAGAAAGGTCATCCCTGACCTTTTGCTCATCGGGACTGAATCAAGTTCTTGCAGTTTAATGATTATGCAGATACGAAACATGCTGGCCTGCAATTAGGAAGTTCAAAAGTTCAACTCAAACACATCTCCGGGGAGCGAAGAGGAAGTGCATATTTCACCTGAATCTTCTTCCACAATGGTACGAAACAATAGTATCATTGGAAAAGGAGGGTTAAACAATTCTTTCCTTTGATTCTTGGGGAGCGAAGAGGAAGTGCATATTTTACCTGAACCTCCTTCCATAATGGTACGAAACAATAGTATCATTGGAAAAGGAGGGTTAAACAATTCTTTCCTTTGATTCTTGTCCACGCTCTAGTTAAGTTTTCCTTCTGGCTTCAACCATCTTTTGCTTCTTCTTTTTTTTTCCAAAAAGAAAAAGGAAGTTTAGCTTCAGTTGCATAATTGTATTATTATTACAGCATTAGCTCTTCAGGACCAGGTCAGGGACAGCAAAGGACTGCACTCTAAAAAATTTTCCCCGAGAGAAAATCGGAAACTTTAACAATTTGCATTGATGATAGTTATGAGTTCAAAGTTCAAACCACACAGAAACACAAGCAGCTCGAAGCAGTAAAAGGTAAAAACAAGGTATTTAAGTTGGTTAGTTGGGCTTCAAGCGGGGATCAACCTCCAGCCTGCCAACACCTTCCTCCTCTTCCGCCGCCTTTGCCACATCAACCTCGCCGACCACCAAATCACCCACATCCTTCTCCTCTCGCTCGTCGTCCACGTAGTTAGGATCCTTCTCGTCTAGTGCCGCCGGCGCCGCCTCTATCTCGCTCTCGGCCATCTCCCCGGGCCTTCCCACGTGTACTTGCCTCCGCGGCCGCCTTGGGCGGCGGCTTCCTGATGCCAATTCCATCAGCCGGGTGGCGCTCCATCCGCTGTATCCCCTTGTCCATCAGCTTCTTCTCCACGTACTTAACGGTGTCTACGTTATGAGTATTCAGCTCCGTCTTCTCCACCCTCTTCCTTCCTTCTTCGTCATGACTCACGGCTCTTATCGTCACCGTGTCTTTCTTGTCGTCGATCGGCTTCATCTCTCGTCGTGGCTGCCTGATGTCTTGCTATGAGTAAAACGGTGGAGTGTGAGGAAGCTTTTATAAAGCAGGGTTCGACCCTGTTTTTGAAATTTGGCGAGTGGATATGAGTACCAGAAGGTGCTGTGGATAGGCTTGAGGTGTCTTGGCTCTGGGAATTGTTTGCTGGTAAATCAGTGCATGCTGTGCCCGCAAACCATTCCTTTGACTTGAGTGAATCAGTCAGGTTCAGATGGAACTCCCGGGTCATTTAGCCCTGGGGCCAAGCAAGCTGTTTCTAGAATCAGATCTCTTCCCGGATTCTTCATGCTTCTACTAGCTACTTCAAATTTTTGGAATCTTAGGGGCTATTCTAACCTGCATTTGGATCCATTGGGCCAGTCCACACTGGGTACCATCTGTCTCTTTTTCTTTCGTTGGTCCAAGCGGATTGTCTTATATTTATCGGGTCGTCTTCCTCAATATGCATTCCGAACGGGCCTTGCCCATTTGCCTTATTAATAACGCCAGTTCCTTTTCTGCTTCAATTCCCACGAGTTTCTTCGTGCTGCGACAAAAATGAAAACATGCTCGAGTATACCTGCTCTTTTTTTATTCTGAGAGACGAAAGCAACTGACAATTCACCAATGTCCTCAAAAGAATGACGCCAGGTGGTTGCCGCCCTCATCTTGCACAATAAGATGATATGTGAGGGAATTAAGAGAGCTGTTTTAAGATATGTCCCCTCCTTCCACAATCCTTGGCTCCCAGTCCTGCGTTGATACCGAGGAGGGGGAGGGAATGTTGTTCGTACTGTATCCTCCATGCCAATTTGCTTTTGCTTATGCAGGCCAATTTTAGGGCTTCGAAGTAGTTTAATCATATTTTATATACGTTTCCTGGTGGTTATAAATACTTTCAACTGATTCCAAATTTCTTATTTATTCACATGCTCAAGTCACCAAACAACAAGGTCACTCCCCGGCTTCTTATGACAGCTTTGCGGATTTTTCGCCAGCCTAATAAATGCATGTGGGACCTGTGCCGGTCTCTGCTGTCTTTACCTGCATTTATCAATTTTGTATCCTATTTTCTTTTCTACATTTATCTTCCTCGTGCTGTCGCGAAATTCAAATAAAAATCAGAAAATAAATTACTTTTAGAGATTTAATGTTTTCTAAATTTTTTTTTATCTTTCGTAGTTTACAAATGTAAACTACTCGGATTTTAAATTTATTAATTATCAAAATCTTAACCATTTAATTATTAATTTTAAAAAATCCACATCCGCATTTATGATTTTATGATCCTGTCACTCTAGTCTAGGGTTCTTCTTCTCTTCAGTTGGTTCCTGCTCAGATCCAGTATTTCGCTGCCTTCTTTTTTTTTTTTTTTCCGGCCTGAAGTATTTCTTTGCTTCCTGATTTCTGAATCAGGACGAGTTTTCAGCTCCATATTTACTAATTAACTTATGATATGAGTATGCTCTTCACCTAAGACCCTACCGGCAGCGTGCAATAAAATGCTCGTCCGCTTCAATTTTATCTATAATATTAAATATTAAAAAAAATTAAATAGGAAATTTGCATAAAAAAACAATTTGCTAGTATATATAATTGTCTTTAATTTTTTTATTTCGTATATATACCTTTTTCTTCCCCTTGATTAAATACCTTTAACTTCCCCTTGTTAGCACGTTTGCCCGCATAATTTTGCTCTATTAATATTATAGATCCTCATACAAGTATCAAATTAAATTTTGAAGAAAAGTATGAATCATTTTCCCTAAATCAAAAGAGGCCACAAGTGTAAAATAATTTTAATTATAGGTAAGAAATAAAAATTTAAAATCCGATCAAAATCTAACCTGGGCGATGAGAAGGATTTGAAGGAGATTTGCGTCTTAATTACTCATAGGAGACTTTTAAGCCGTACTGATTTGGCAAGCATCTATTACCGTTCGATGATAAGTTTCTTATAGGATCAGCAATATGATGCATCCAACAGAAGAAAGCAATGGATAAGTATAGATGACTCCGCATAAGTGAAAGGTACCAGTCACTGGTATTACTGCTCGGAACAGCCTACAATCTCTGATCATCATGCGCCTACCTACCCCCACTTCAACAAATAGAAATTAAATTGTGAGTGTTCAACAGCAACTCTAGCATTTAAAAAAAAAAAAATTAAAGTCCAAATCGTTTCTAACTAATTCCTGCAAATATCTGATATATAAATCAAATCTCTATTGCTGGATCTAACGATCAGGTGGTCACCCCAAAAGTTTCAATGTTAGTACTTTCTTTCTAGTTACCATGTCAGCCTCCGGATCACCTGAAACCAGAATCAGAAAAGAAATCACATACGAAATCATCGAATATATAGCAACCTATAATTATAAACAACTTGGCCATTTTTCAAAATCAAACATCTGATCATAAAAATAGTACCTTTACCTTGACTTTAAGCTTCTATTCCCCAGGCAGAGATATATTGATGTCTGGGGTTGGGCCCTGATCTGACAACTCTTCAAATCCATTCCAATCAGAAGCAATGGGTGTGGCATCTAAACTCTGCTTATCGCTGCTTGTAATGTTGTCTGATTCTCTGTGGCTTTGCTCTGGAAGCTGCTGCTGGGCCATGGGAGTGAAACAGTTTTCAGCAGCATCAGGATTTGCCTGTGAGATAGGCCTTGCCGCCATCACAGCATCCGCACCAGAAACTGGAGATGCCGCAGTGTTCTCACGATGTTGCTTTCTTTTCTGTGCCTTGTGACCATACGGCATGAAGCTTCCCATCACAATCTGCAACCACACGTGTCATCATAAATTCTCTCCACAATCCTTCAAAATGGCATACCAGATGGTACAGATTCAAACATCTTGGCAATATATGAAGCCTAAGTCCTTAACCATGTTATTGGTGTCATTACACTACAATTAACGTTTCTAAAGATGAGTTTTAACGGAAAAGATCAAACTTTAAAGCATGTGATTGACTAGAAATTTAGGTAAAGCAGTGAAAGAAAAGGCATCGTACTTGGATTGGACTAGCAGCAGTTAGGAGACCAGCAACGCCACCGCCTATGACACGACCATCAGGGCCGGCCAGTGAGACACTCAACCCACCAGTTCGACTTCTCATGCCGCCATTATCAGACATTGTGAATGACCCGGACAAGGACAAAATCTCGAACCGACCCTGAACATTGAAATTAAAGGGCTCATTATTGAAAAATGCTAAAAATTAAGGACAGTGGTTTAGTCTCCAGTAAGACAAGCTATACAGAGTAGAAAGGGCCCTGAAATGGTTCAGAGCCAGACCACATGGTCAACGACAGAAATTTGTGATACAGTTCAGGATAATAAAGCGTTAATTATTAGTAATTAATGATCAGTAGCATATCATTGTACCTCCGTGTCCATGATTTAACATGTCATGTCCCGCCTAGGGTTTTTACGTGGGAAAACAATTATTTCACCAATGTAGCTGAAACCCAGCTTCCCAAACCCGACCTAAGGAGAGACAGACAGAGAAATCATCTGTAATAGAAGCATCTATTGTCATCGTCTTTGACATATCCATATTCTAAATGCATGGCAAAACAGATCATTACGCAAGCCCATGAATAAACTATCCAAGGCAGAAAGTTCCCCCAGTAACATAAATCGTCGTCTTAATGTGGCCCGCTACGCCCCTCTGGGATGGAGTTGCAGATTAAAAATAAAAAATAAACAAACAGTATCAAAGATCTGGCCTTTACAGTCATTTGTCATCATGAATGGCAAAAACATGTCGGAAATGAAAGCAATTTAAATAAGAAAAGAAAAACATTCTCATAGCCGAAGGATAGGCATCAGTAAGAGGACGTAGATCTCAGAAAACATCATGCCTCGTATGTTAATAAGCCACCAGAAGAACCAGGCTGCCGTAGAGTGACATTAGATATAGCTCCATTGGCAGAAAGAACGCAAACTCCTCTTGTACCTTTCTGAGCAAATGACACGATTTTTCCAGCGACATCCTGCATGAAGGTCATCAAGTAAGATCTCTGTCACGTTTACCAAAAAATTATATTTCGGGATCTGTTTATCAATAATGTTAAATAACCGGCTATCATTATTTTGTTTGAATCTAAAATCGTAGAGTGCTTTCTGCATTACCTCTCCAGAATGAACAGTGACTACATGAGGTGTGAAATCCCCACCTGCTGTGTTTGCAAACAACTCACCTTCAAAAATAACAAGCCGTAAGATTTCTTGCTCAAAGAATCCGCTATATCCACTGACTCCATACTAAGAATTCACATGTTACACGCAAAGTATGTATTTAGCAAAACATACCTTTTATTTGCCCTTAACATATGTATGTATCAACCTTAGATTCTAAGCCACAAGAAGCTAAGTTTATCTAGTTTCAGCCATGATAAGCCTACACTAAATGTTTTGTCCATAATATCAGGGAGAAATAAAGAAAGAGGAAAACAAAAAAAACTTGTATCTTGTCCTGAAACGGTTAAGATTTCAGTTACAACAGGCGCAAATTTTCTTTTAAGAAAAAAAATTGGGCGCAAATTTGAAACCGAACCCTTCAGTCCTAAAAATATCACTCTGGAATTCAACTCCAGAGAAAAAGAGGAAGTTTTGAGTGAGATTAAAACAAAACTGACCTAAAGATGCGAGGAGCTGCCAGTTGCCAGAGCCAGGTGGTCTGCCTCGCCCCCTTTTGGTGGAGAACTCAGAAGGTGAGGTTGGGGAAAAAGAAAAGCCTTGTTTTGATGCTGCACCCGGGTACGACGTCGTCACCCTCGGCTTCCCATCTGAATCATATTTTCTCGGCCTCCCTCTCTTCTTTTTCCCGAACAAATCCAAACTCCCTTGCCCTCCTCCTCCGGTACTTGCAGGCGATGTCATTGGTGCTGCGCCTCCACTGTTCTGCAAGTTCATATTCCCCGTCATGTTCGTTACCTGAGGCACGGAGACTCCGACGGGTTGCACATGCTGCCCGGAGTCTGAGTTCCCCGGTGACCCAAAAACATGGGCATCTTTTTCTTCCATCAAAAAAGCGTTTGAACAAGGAAGATAACAATGAAAGAAGGTATAAAGATGTTGTTTGGGTTTCTAGTATTGGAAGCCTAAAAGGTGAACAGTTCAGGTTTGAACCAGAAAGACTCTGCAAATGGCGCCAGAAGTAGAAGAAGTGGGAAGCGTTTTTATCTTTGGATGGGAGAAATTATGAATTCGCTCCTCCATTAATGGAGGAAAATCAGACTGTGAGTGTCTGGACTCTACTGTGCATTTATTTATTCCAATATTTTAATTTGAATTAAAAAATGATCCATTTATGATGATTCGTAATAAATAAAGATGTTCAGCCGAGATTATTGTTTTATGCCCAAATTATCCCCGTAAATGGACAAACTGACAAAAGAGATTTGTTTTTCAAATCTTTTTGGCAACAAGTCTTTGTTTTTAATGGGGAAAAAGAGATTATTTTTGGTTTTGGCATATGCAGTGATTCTTTTCCTTTCTTTTTTAAGTGTCTTTTTTAAAAAATTATCTATCCATTTTTAAGAAAACTTACGGCAACGTTAATTATTATTATTATTTTTAAGTATGTCCTTAATTTTATTAGTTTTAAAAGTTCAAAACATCATTAATATAAAACAGTGACATTAATTATGTTTTTAATTTATGTTCTGAAACTTAAAAAAATTATAAAAATAAATTGACGAAATATTCTGCAGTAGTATAGTAGTTCATATTTTATTAAACTCTTAAAATACTTCTTTAGTTTTAATATAAAAACTAGTTGATTAACTTGAATAAATTAAGAATATTAGTTATTTATAATAAATAGTTCTTATTTTTTTAAACATAATTGCTAATTATGTTTATTAACCATAACTACCATTTAATGAAATATTTAACATATACACCTAATATAATGACTGCCTTAAAAGAAAATATATAAAAAATAAAATTGATTAAAATTTTATATTTAGAATTAAATTAAAAATAAAACTAACTTTTAAATCTGCATTAAAAAATTGAATAAAATAACATATTTGGCAGCTGCCATTGATTGCTAGTTTACCATCATCAAAATAAACAAAAAGTATTGAAATGAACATATAGGAATAGTAAGCTTGGCATTAAAAAATTGCGGTCAAAGCGTTGGTGTTCAGATAAAGCGGCAAAACGCGATAAAATAATATATTCGCGAGTTATGTGAGTTGAAAATAGGAAAAAAGGAAAAAGTTGAAGTCCCTATCTTACGTTTCCCAAATCAATTGGCATCCGAATTCTATTTTGGTGAGCACTTTCAGATTTTGATACCTAAACCACCCTCCATTCCACATTTCATTTGCCGAACCCAAATAAAAATTATTATTAATTGTTACGCTGGTCACACCCCCAGTATATTTTCAATGAAACAAGTCACGGCACTCAAAAGAGTTCATATTTCGGAAGTGAAGTTATGAGACGGAAAGCGCGTGGTATTTTAACATTAAAAATATAAATTATAATTTATATTAGCATGTTTTTTAATATATTGATTGATGATTGGTGATAGTAAATTAGTTAAAAAGAAAGAGGGGGCAGGCTGGCTGGCAGATAAAAGGCGTTTGGCGGGGGTAGCATTGGGAAGCGCGGGTGCCCCAATCAAGTGGAGTGGAATGAACGCTGAGGAAATGGTAAAAACAAAAACCAAAATCTGTCCATAAAATAATGGCAACCAAAAATAAAAATACGCCCAATGAAATAAATGCATGCTGGAAAAAAGAAAAAACAAGAAGAGAAAAGAGGAAAGAGTAAAATAAAAGCTGTCGGGAAGACCGTTGACGGGCCTGACAATTCACGCAAGCCATTATTAATTACATATTTAAGGGCTCACGCCTTTGCTTCCCTATTCTGGCCCTCTGCCTCCCCCTCCCTCCTTTTCTTCTCTCCTCCGTTCCCCTCCCCTCTTAAACTGCAGCTCCTTCCCTCTTTGGCTCAAATTCTTATATTGCCCACATCTTTCTTAAATCTAAAAATACGGTCCATTCACTAAAATCAGTTTATATAGATTTATTTAAAAAATATGTTATTTATTTTATGGGGAAAAAACCATATTAACGATGGGTCTTGAATAGTAAGATAAAATAACTAGTTTTTGCTCCATATATATGTGGATGCTTTAAATTGGAAATGCAACCTCTTCATTTCTTTGACTGTTCACTTCCTTCTTCCTCATATGGACGCAGGACTTGATCCCAGTGCCCCATTTAGCATTACAGGCACCGTTGCCACTTAGATAGCTAACGTGTTTAACAGTCAAATTAAACTACTCGCAGGATACATGTATTGTTCTTATTAGGTTTATTGAAATGCTTGACATCTTTTTCATTTTTTAAACAGACGATATTCTAGGTTAGTTTTGTGAGTGTCATAAACGCATGTATTTTATCGGAAACGCACAACTTTTATATTTTAAATAAATGAGCAAAGCCTTTTCCTGGAATAAAAAGCTGTACAACATATAATCATTTATTCAACAATGTACACCAAATAAATTTTGTTCAGTAATATTCCACTGGAGCACATATTTAGCATATTTGATTTCTTTTGGCAAACACGGTGTGTCTGGGTTAAAAAACAGTACTCCTCAAAAGTTTTATATTTAGGACTGGAAGAGGAGTAGTAGTCTATACTATAAATTTGAGGACACGTATACATCCATGAATAATCTAAAATTAAGGGCCTGTTTGGGTATCTCAAAACCGTAGTTTCAGAAGCACTTTTCCGCAAAACGAGATAATCTCCTCCACATATTTACTTCATAATTCGTAAAAGCACTTCTGAAACTATGGTTTGATTTCTATCCAAACACACCCTGAGAAGGAGCTGAGCAAGAAAACACATGACACGGAAACTGGTGGATAAAAGCTGGACGAAGGAGCAATTGTTGAGGCTGGGGGTGGGTTGAACAAGTCTACGTTACCATGTTTCACCTAATACCCTACCTAATTACCTACTCCCCCCATCCCTATTTTTCATTCTTTTCTGTTCACATCATGCCTCCTTCTACTCCCTTCCGTGTTTCAATTTCTAACGATTCATATTTCCTATTTATCAATTCAATTCTTAACAAATCAATTATGTTGTCACGAAATTTTTGGTTTGACCATGCATCGTCACGAAATTTTAAAGCCATGCCTGAATTCAATCTAAAATGCTACTCCCTCCGTTCCTTATTATAAGAGACATTTGATGCTTATGGCATGTTCCTATATATAAGAGACACTTACAAGTTGTCTCTACTTTTTTGTGTTGATTTACTATTTTACCCATATTTATTATCTCCAACTCACACTCTCTCTCCCTCCCACTTCTCTTTCTTTGAATAATTTAATTGTTCTCTCTCATACTCTCTCTCCTTATTAATAAGGGCATTTTTGAAAAAAAATTATACTTTTTACACATTAATTGTTCTTAACTAATTTTAACTGTTTTTTTAATCAACGTATTTCGGTTATTTGTCTCTTATAATAAGGAACGGATGGAGTAACTAAAGATAGGTAAACATAAGAGAATATTTATTTTATCTTAATTTGCGTCTCTCGGAGGTGCATGCATGGCCCATCTATCGTTCACACTTCACGTACAATCATTAATTGATCATCCCTTATTCCTATACGGACGCCTCTTTTATTTGACAGTATTCACAGTGTCTCTCTTCCAGCCCTCGATCACTGATACTAACACCGATGCATAAATATAAACTTAAAAATCATATATAGTAAATTATATCACTGAAAGACCACACACGACTTCACACACACTCACTCTACATGTACGCCCACGGCTCATCGACTCGCATCTAGTTTTCTTACAGGAAAAACATTATTTACAAAATACGGTGTCCTTTTCACGGGGCGTCCCTTTTTTGTTGGGATGTGAAAGAAGGTTACTAGAAGCCTAAACCAACAACCCCCCCCCCCCAAAAAAAAAAACCAACCAACCAATATCTAGAAGATCATAACCAGGGCATTAGTTGCGTTGGAAGTATTTGTAAGAGCGGCAAGATGTTAACTACTGAAGTACGTAAGGCCTTGTATTTTATCAAATCCACCCGTCCTGGGCCGCCGCTTCCACCACCCCTTCCATAACTCCACGATCGCTGCTCATTCAAACCACCTGCGCTGCTTGTCCTCACGTCCCAAAACCCCGCCTAACCGAAGTTAAAGCAAAAACCCTGATACCGTCTCCCTTCATCGCCCGCGAACTGGGAAAAAGCCAATACATTCTGACCTGCCATTTGATTTTCGATATAACTGCGCATAAAGCAAACCCGCAGCGAGGCCTATTGGGCTTAGAGAGCCCAGGCACTCACCGTCTGGACCAGGCAGGCTTGATCGGCCATGGACAAGGGTTTGTGCCCCGACGTCGAGGAGGAACTCGATCACGCATGACGAACTGCATAGCTCGAAGGAAATGAAAATGCTTGAGGGTTCCGATTCCTTCTTGTCGTCCGTTATCTTCGTGAAGTTGCCGTGAGGATGGTTATGCTTTCTTCTTCTCCTCTCCCTCAACCTCCTCAACCTCAAACGCCAAGGCCAGAGTCTTCAAAAGAATCAGGAGAGAAGCGACATTGGGCTGACCGGCTGACTACGTGCGTGATGATGAGGTGGAGTGATAACTCAGTCAAAATCGCCACATGTACCATTTTGGTCAAATAACGTCATTTTAACGGCCAGGGTTAATAGTTCTCATTGATGGGCATCACTGCACTAATTTCAAATGTTTAAGGATATTTCAGGACAAAAACGTCTTTTACTCCTATCTTTAATTAGTGTATAATATTCCACGTTAATCTCAAACGTTTTGATATACGGATTAGAGCCTTAAATAACTATACAGATAAAAAAGTGCCGGAATTATGAAACCATGACGGCAATAATTGCTCTGTGAACATGCGTACACAATTTTTGACTTTGCCGGGGCCATCGCCTCTTCCTAATTTTTAATAACAACAATAATAACCGGAATAATCATACCGCTCACGTGGTTATTTTGTTTTGGATTTAGAATTGAAATTGAATTCAAAGACGTGAAAATAGAAGAGCAATAAGAAATGAGGCATGGGTACACGTTGGGAACCGCTAGCAGCAACGCAAGATAAAACAAAACACAGACAAGAACAAGGACACGCCACAAACAGACAGCGAAACCTTGGTAGGGTCCCTCGGTCATATCGTTTTTCCTCTCTCTGCTAAATGACCCATATGTATGTATCCTACCCCTTCCATTTATGAGTTTTAAATTTGAGAAGGAGAATATTCATTTTACAAATTTAAATCTAAATTTGTTTTAATATTTAACACTTATCCTGTTCTAAATATAAGACCTATTTTATATTATAAATATAAAACTTATTTTATATTATAAACTACAATATAAAATAGGTCTTATATTTAGAACTGAAAGGAGTATATATTTTAAAATGTTGTTTCTAATTTTGTTCCTTTTTTTTTTGTTTTTGACACTTTTTTATTTTTTATCATTTATTATAATAGTATATTTGAAAATAAAAATTTATTTATCACTTATTTTATTATTTTTAATTAATTTTTTGTTACCTGTTAATTAATTATTTAAAGTTTATATTAAGGAATAGGGAGAGTACATTATAATAATGGCCGTTTTTATAATTTTCTCAGCGCTCTCAAACTGTGCAAGCCTGCACAGGAAATAATAGAATCAGTTAAGTAGTTAAACGAGATAACTGATTTTGATGCAAGTAATAAATTATTAATCACTCTTAAATATTTATAAAGTACTTTATATATTGAAATATGACGAGATTCGGGAAAAAAAAAAATCTCTAGATATGGATAACATTATAAAATCACGCTACATCATTTATTCTCTTCCACGATCTCGCGTATCAAAGTGAGATTTACATGAGTCTTTGGACCAAAAAAAAAAAAAAGGTCTACATGAGTCCCGAAAACAATTAACGACATCTAATTTCATTCAAATAACCGCATAAAGTTGGGGAAAAAGTAAAGTTTTTCTGTGGGTAATCAACCGGTCAAGCACACACAGCTAACTAAAGACATGGTTTATTGAGGCGAAAAAGAAAAGGCACAAGGAAAGAAATGGGCTCTCTACCCTACAAAACAGTCTCTTTTTCCTTTAACCAAGCACGCGTATGGAAAATGATAATCGGCCCGAAGCGCCATCAATTTAATTTTTAAAACGACGAAAAAGCAATTTATTAATGGAGATTCCCGAGGACTGACCATGTGGGGGGGAAGGACTAAGGAGCCTCAAAGTTTCAAGCTTTGCTTTTAGTGACTATTTTATATTTATTGCTTGGTCATTAATTGTTTGCATCGCCACTACCGTAACTGTTCAAAAGTACCGTAGGTTGCCATCATCAGTTATGCTGAAAATAAATGTCATAATTTAATTTTATGGCTCATCTAAAACGACGGGTCGCCAGCTCGAATCCTAGTCGATATACGGGAATACCAGAATGTGATTTACTGATTTAGCCTTAACCGTCCCAATCCCAACAACAGTCCATGGGGGGTTGGGGTTGGGGGAGACGCGGCCATCGGCTAGAAAAAGAAATTAAGTTGGTTCCTAATTAAGCATAAAATTAAAGCTAAATAATAAGTCGAGCTTCTTCCTTTTTCCACATGTGGGTTTCCACTTTCCAGGACCAACTTCTGCCATTTTTTTTTGGGGGGGGGGGGAATCTGCCTTCCGTCCTCAAAAACTAGTTGTAAATCCAGTAGAGCTTAATAGTATTTCCCAAACTTATTCCTCTCAGATTTACTAGAAAATCATGGCATGTTGACTTGTCCAAATTGCACCCAATAAATAATATTTATTCAAAATTATAGTATTTCGATCCTTCAAAAGTTTTTTTTTTTAAAGATTTATCGTAATTCGGGAATAAAATATTCACGTGGCGTGTGATATTTCACCTGACGTGTAGAGTGGACAAAATGCTCGAGGTCCAAAATGAATCGCGATGTTGATTGCGTACAGCTGTGCAGACTTTTTTTTTAACATATATTGTGCTTTTTTTCTCACACAACAGAAATAGGAGCAGCGATTTATAAATTTATTTACCATCGCCTTGAACGGTAGTGAGTTTTTGATTTTAGGATGTCTGCAGTTAATTTGATAAATGTCAAAGCTTTGAATATCTCTCTGAACTATTTTTTTTGGGCACAAAAATTCAAACCTTCCCGTTCCTGAGCATCCCGGGTAAACTCGGATGGAAAATTTCCAGTCCTTCTTTGACAATATGCCTTTCTATGGCCCGCCCAACACCTTTAATCATATAAGTCATGACCTATCGATATTCATATTTTACTGGATTTTCCGAAGAATGCTGCGCCTTTTTAAAAAAAAAAAAATTCTTTCATGGAATTATAAAAAATACTTAGACGCCTAAAAATAAGTTGATAATTTCACGCAAAAGAGAGAGAAGGTAGGGTTGCCATTAGTTGTTACTCTGGAATTAGATCTTCAGAATCTAATTTGACTGTAAAAGATCAAAATGATGCAGTGAGGGTCCACTCTCAAAGTGAGCTCTCATCTTTTTCATAAAAGGGATTTGACAATATCCTTAAGCTTGAGTAAAGTGAAGCCCCTGGAGTTTTTTTTTCCCTTTGGGCTGTGCAACCCAGAAAAAAAAAATCCCAGGATCAGTCGTCCGCGAAACCTTCATGATTTTTTCAAATTAAAAAACCAAATAACTTATTTCCCAGCTTGGCTGCATTAAGCCATCATCAGGAATATATAACGCTTTCCCCAACGAAAACAGCGTTAACAAGGGCAAGGCCGAATCACACGATAAATTATAAAAATAATAACAAGACTATGAGTTGTTAAGTTGAAACTTTTTTTTTTCCTGGGGCAATGTTGCGTTGGAAAATGAAACTACTTATTCGCAACAAATTCGAGAGGCTTGACATGCTAGTTAGTTATTTATGCCGAAGTGACAGCTCAGTAATCATCAAGTCTCATGGAGCTTCCAGTAACGAGTTGGATCTGGTTTGAGTACTGGCAAACACGGTAAACAAGAAAACCCAGTGAAAAATTGGTGATGGTTGCTTTTGAAATCTGTCCGAATTAAAATTTTGTTCTCAAATCTCAATCAGTATCAACGACATGCGTTTTCCCCATGATGTTATTGCCGACTTGTAAGATTTAATTTGCAAGTTGCAACCCCAATGATGATATTGTTACTACGTTTAAATAAATCCAGAACGAAGCCGGTTTATTCCAAAACGCAGAGCCGACATGACGGGGCGGTGGAAAACGGCATGGAGTGAGTGTTTAACGCTACAGAAGAACGTCCTTTCAAACTTTAATTATGGGCCTCAGACCCAAAATATTATGGGCCGATGAGCCCGTGGCCCAAAGCACACCAAAGTCTCGTCCTTCCTATCGGTAATTCATAGCAAGGGTTATCCATCTGAGATCGAACCGGACGGCATCGTCACGTTCGGAGCATAACAAATACTATAAAGTATGAACTTCAATACTTAATATAAGAATAAGAACTAGTTAATTAATCTAAATAAATTAAAAAAATTAGCTAAATTAGTTATTTATAATAAAATAATAAATAGGTACTGTTTTTCTTACTAATCCATTATATTGGTTACAACTATTACTATTATAAAAACTATATTAAAATAAATAAATATAAAAAATTAAACAAATTTAGCTTTAATGTTTAGAACTAAAATAAAAATTAAATTAAACTTTTACATTAAGAGCCAAGTGGCACCAAGTATTCCACTCTTTGCACTGGCGTCAGTTGTCCGTGGAGGCACATGCTCCTCAAAATTCGCCCTCTGTCTCAAATACGACCCATCTTCCCTGCACCCATTGGCTGGTCCCCCAAGTTGTCGTCGCATCTCAGGTGCATCTTAATCCTCCATTCTTGAACTCATCGAACATATCCTCCCAGCACAACCACGGGCCACAAGAAAGATCCATATCCGAAGCAACAATCGGAAAACTCGCCTCCTGTCCATTCTTGAATGCCAGTGCAATTCCCAGACGCAAGCCACCACTAAACTGTCACCTCTGTCCCTCACGTTCTCCAAAAAGCATCAACCCGAATGCCACTCTCATATTCGCACCCTCTCCTCGGTTTGACCGATTCTTGTACTCCCCCTTCCTCTCTTATTTGTCCCTTTCCTTCAATTTTTTTTCTCATCTCAATCCTTCTTTTCCCTGTCGCGCTCACATGTCCTCACCTGCAACTGCTCCACCCTTCCCCTTCTCCCCTCTCCAGTGTTCTCCCATATTCGTTTTGCTGGCTCTCTCCCTCCATGCTGCCGAGATTTTGAATGCAATTTCGACGCGGAACGGCTAAACGTGAGTGTGGCTGAATCTAAAATCGCGGATTGTAGTCGTACTGCATACCGTGTTCTTCATTAGTCACACTTTATGGTGCAGCGTGAGATTGTTTCTAAGAAGCTCTGTTTTGTTCCCAACTAAAATGGGAGTTGGCTTTCTAATCTGTACTGATGCGTTCGATTTCATTCAGGGTACTGAGTGTCGACTGAGACGCTGCTGATCGGGTTTAATCATTAGAACGTGGCTACCAATGAGGGGTGACATGGTGAATGGGTCATGGATCAGTGCTTTGAAGTCTGTCTCCCGCAAGTCGGCATCAGATGACAAGGCAGCCATAGGAATTTTGGCATCAGAAGTCTCTTTCTTGATGTTGAAGGTCGTTAATTTATGGAACTCTTTGAGCGCCGTCGAGGTAATGAGTTTGAGGGAGGAAATAGTAAACTCACTCGGGGTCAAATTACTGGTTTCTAACGATGATAGTTTCTTGATGGAACTTGCATTGAATGAGATACTCAGTAACTTCCAATGCTTAGCAAGGTCCGTGCCAGGTTGAGTCAGAGGTGCGAGAATCCATTGTATCGTCGTTATGAACAGTTTGTGAATAATCCAGTTCGGGATTGCTTTCATTGGTCAGGGTGGGAATACAGACGGAAAAAGATGGATGGGAAGGTAAAGAAAATGGAAAGATTTGCGGCAGCTATGTCACAATTGTCCCAGGAGCTTGAGGTCCTGGCAGAGCGAGAACGGACTATCAGGAGAATGCGGGCAAATCCTAAGTTGGTCGAGTCAGATTGGTCGAGTTTAAGAAAAAGGTTAAGTTGCAGCGCCAAGAAGTAAAAACCCTTACAGAGATGTCTCCGTGGAATAGAAGCTATGACTATATTGTCCGCTTGTTGGCAAGATCACTATTTACAATTCTAGAGAGGATTGTACACGTCTTTGGAAATTATCCCCAGCAACCACTGGAACAGCAAGAAGATGATTCTGAAAGAGTACATGCTGTCACCCTTCGACGGACTTGCTCCTTCTCGCCTCCTATGCATTTTTATGTCCATCCGGATGAGTTGGATACAGAACAACTTGGTTGGAGGTTGAGCTCAGGGCATGTGGCTGACAATGGCAAAGGAAAGAAGAAACAAGAAGCTCTTCATTTAGAAATCAGGCAGTTGGGATATATTGGTCCTTTCAAAGGATGCGTGTCAGTAGGAACTGATTCTCCTGCTGTGCCAAGTGGCAGGGGGCCAACAAAAGGTGGCTCTATGAGGACAAGTGATTACCAAACGAAACATGTTGTTGGAAAAGCCAAAACCGCAGATAATTCGTGTTTATTCAACAGGATAAGCATATATTCAAAACTATCCATCAGTAGTGGATCAAGACCACTTCCTTTTACTCTCGGTGATGCTGCTTTAGCTCTCCACTATGCCAAAGTAATTATATCGATTGAGAAGATTGCAGCATCACCTGACATGCTCGATCCTGAGACCAGGGATGATCTGTACAACATGTTACCAACAACGATAAAAACTGCTCTAAGGGATAAGCTCAAGAGGGGAGGTAAAAGAAAGGCTTCCTCAGGAGGAGGATGGAGAGTGGTGGTGAAGCATATTTTAGGATGGTTGGCTCCACTGGCTCATAACATGGTAAGGTGGCATTCTCAGAGGAATTTCGAGAAGGAGCATGCGACTTGCAAGCCAAACATCCTATTAGTCCAGACTCTGTACTTTGCAAACCGAGCAAAAGCTGAAGCTGCGATTGTGGAACTTCTTGTTGGTCTAGACCATGTTTGCAGAACTTATCAGCAAGCTGGCTTAAGAGATTCGCCTGAGTTTATTGGGACTGGCTCCCGTAACGTCGTTATGACGAGACATAATAATGATCTATCTTGAAATCGTACCTTGTTTGGATATATCTTGAGCATGATTGCGCAGCTCCTCTCCATATGAGAACTTGGTATACCCAATAGCAGTCTTTCAATTAAAACAATAACTTTGTATGAACCAGTTTGGTTTCATTTCAAGTGATATACATTAGATCAGATAATAAATATAACTGTTTACCAAGGTTTTTTGAACACAGCCCAATGACCTTATGAACCAAGACAAAATGTTGAAATATATGCTCAGATGCACAACGTACCACTCCTCCTACACAAATATAAGAGCTAATTAAGAAGTTGATATTGATCCCTTATTTCACATATTTATTAATTTTTTTAAAAACTAATCCTATTAATACCTCCAACAATAATTAAGGAGTAGAGGGAGGGAGGGAATTAAGACTCAAAGTAGTTAATTAAGTTTTCTATTAGGAACTGAAAAAGTATATATTTAGGCATCCAGTATCATTAGGTCAATTGATGAGGAAGCATGTGGTAGAGATTACCCCGGTAATAACAGAATTAGTCTCGATTATAACGGCGAATAATATAATTTTGTCATGTGCCGCAGTACTTCCTTTGTTCCTATATAGATGTTTCTGGTCCATAGTATACTGCATCGTTTTTCTGCCCTTTAATTAACAGCAGTTGAGGAGTGTAGCCATAGATATGAAATCTGTTGCTTCTTAAACATCTTGGCAACATTTTCAGTTGTTTGCTGTTGCCCGCTCCAACGTTATTACCTGTTGCTTGAGGTATCAGTTTTTCTTACTTCTAAGCCACACTTGGTGAAAAACGTTGCCTCTTCCTATCTTATAGGCAACAATTTTACCATAGCCCCATATCAGCAGTTTCAAAATATTGCCATGTAAGTACAGTCTGCAACTATTGCCCTAAGCTAAAAACACGCAACACTTATAAAATGTTGGCAAAAGGACAGGCCGCATAACATTGCGATAGACAACAGTTTTAGAGTGCATGCACGAAGCATGGGCAGCAATATCTAAACACATGTGAGTAAAAATTGAGAAATGTTGCATTGGTATGCAACAGACAACAATAATTCAAATTGTAGGTGCGCATACGGTGACGGTAACAACTGACTACAATTGACATTTGTTGCTTAAAATATTGAATGCAGAATTTAGAACTGTAACCTTAATTTTCAAAGGGAACCTTTAAATTTGAAAACAAAGTTTTTAATTGACATTTACTCTTTTGATCATATTTATAAGACAAATAGAGAAGACATTTTTTTGTCCTATTTATAGGGTATTAAGAGAAATTTTTTTATATGCATGTACAATTTTACTCTTCATTTATTATTATATTTACTTGGTTTATATGAAGTATAATGTATACTAAATAGGGATATAGTTGAAAATTTATTGAATTTTAAATAAGATTTGATAAAATTGAATGTTTTTCTTGATCTATGTAAAACATGTTAAAAGTGACTAATAAATAAAATCATGAAAGTGACCAATAAATAAAATCAGATAAATATTACTTTAAGACCTCATCAAATGGTGACAAGGGTAAGTCATGAATAATATCAAATTGCCACAGAATACGGGTATACAGGAGTCATAATTTATACACCCTTCCAAAATGGGCGTATATACCTTTTCTAAAAGTGCTTGTTTGGGTTTAGGCGTTGTCGACTGGGATCACTTTCCTTGGAACAAAATTACAAAATATTGTATCAATATGAAAGAAAAGGTCTTGATTCCAAACAGTAGTATCCATGCATTGAAAGAAAGAGATATGACACCTGTTGCAACAGTACACATTCAAATTTACAAAAAGAACCAATAATACAGAAAAAGCCTGGGCCTTGGGACACCATCGAAAGCTTTAATTTTAATACCCATGCATTCAAAAGTCGGTGCTCGATCTATCTCTTATCTCAATATATACATACTCCTCCAGTCCTAAATGTAAGACCCTTATACACACTAGTATAAGGGTCTTACATTTAGGACCGGAGGAGTAATAAGAAAGAGTTTCAAATGTTTGTGACCAGGCAACATCCGAAGTTCCGATAACTTTGCATCAGGTGAAATCATGCACCACTCCTCCGATCTTTAATATAAGACTCATTTAACTAATTTGATTAGATTAAGAAAGTTAGTTAAGTTAGTTAATTATAAGAAATGTCATATGTTTTTCCTAAAATACCATAATCATCTTTCTTAATACCCTATCTTCTTCTTTTACTTAATTACGATTGAGGGAATATCTTTAAAGAAAATTGATAAATATAAAAAATAAGTCTTATATTTAAAATCAAAACCAACTCAACAATTGAGTCTGATATTAACGAGCGGAGCAGTATTGTATTGAATCAGGCCAACGAGTGACATTATTGATCTGTTGCTTCCCAATGTGGGTCAAAAGTCGGCAGCGGGCCTATCGGCTGAGGATAACGTACGAAACTTTGAATGTGATGAGGAGAAGTGATAGTAATAATTGTGATGAGCACACTGATAAACATACCAGTGGGACTCTATGGGAGGTATCAATTATTGTTTGTTTGTACTAATTTATTCTTTTGGTAAAGGAAATTGGATTACTTGGCCGGTATTGCGGAGAATCAGAGAAGCAGGCTTCTGAAGGAGATTCCCTATATACAAGACACACACAAATATAATTGTCCTTACGCTCGCTTACGCCTGTTCTCAATAATATTCTCATTAGTTTGCATTAACTATTCCAGGGTTAAATATTAAATGATAGCATAGGAATAGGGGATCATAAATTAGCTGGCACGCAATAAATCAAACCTCGTTTTGATATATGGATTTAGAAACTTACCTAAGGATAAAATTTGTTATTTATTCCAAACTCGAAAAAAATGAACATGACAATATCATTATTGAAATGCTCAAGATTTCGTTTTTAAATTATTAATATTTTCAATGCTTGATAATAAAATTTGTTAAATTTAATACTAAATTAAACTCCAATCAGAAAATAACTTCAAGGTTTTTTTTCTGGGCGAGATAATTTTAAGATTATCTGCATAAAGTTGTTCGGGTACTCTTTAAACGTAGTTTTTCTTTGTCCTTAAAGAGAGAGAGAGAGAGAGATCTTCAGGCGCTAAAATATGATGATCGCCTTACAATTTAAAAGCTGCGCAATCACTTATGTGATATAGCACGTCTCTGTGGCTGACGCTAATTCGATATGATGCCATACTAGACCGTCTTCGGTTCAAGTTACACTCCTACAGTTACTCGAACTTTATTATGTTGTATTGCGGGGTTTGTTTATGATCATTTGAGTTGCTGATATGAATTTGGGACAATTATTCTGTGCATACGGCTGTCCTAGCTGGTAAGAAATACTCTGAGAATACTACTACCTCCGATTCTAATTATAAGACCCAGTTGACTTATTTGAGGAGATTAAGGAAATAAATTAAGTTAGTTATTTGTAATAAATAAGTGTTGTCATTCCTAAAATATCCTTTCTAAATAAGTATATTGGCTAGAACTATCATTATTAGAAGGATTATCTTGGAAAAAAAATGCATAAATATGAGAGACAAAATAGATTGGGGTCTTATAGTTAGGACCAAATAAAAAGTTAAACGGAATCTTATAATAAGGATCGGAAGTAGTATTAAGTAAGCGAGGGGCATTTATTGTTTTTAGATAGCAGAAGCAAGCCAGACCATACCAGGTCTCACGTTAATAGAATACAAGATAATTCAACATGACAAGTTACGTATCGTACACGAAGATATTTAAAAGAAAAACAATATAATACCTGCATCGTTTAACTTTCACTTTTCACCATTTTAGGGAGCGCGAACAAGGGCTCGAGCTTTCTCATAGTGATCCCAAGCCGGTCTCTCGTGTCCATGGTGGACGGCGTCACATCCCCGGCGAGTGTCCAGTCAAAGTGGTGAAGCAAAGAGCTCAACACCAAGTGAAGCGTTCTATGAGCCAACGGCACGCCGGCGCACATTCTCCGTCCAGCCCCAAACGGGATCAGCTCATAGTGAGACCCCTTATAATCAATCTTGGAACCCAAGAATCTCTCAGGTTTAAAAGCCAGCGGGTCTTCCCACGCATCTGGGTCTCTTCCGATTGCCCATGCGTTCACAAACACCTGGGTATGTCTGGGTACAAAATATCCCATGAATTCTGTATCATGAATTGCTCTTCGAGGCACCAGCATCGGAATTGGAGGATGCAGTCGAAGTGTTTCCTTAATTACAGCCTGCAAGTATGGAAGATTCTCTATGTCACTCTCTTCCACTTTCCTGTCGGACCCAACCACTTCACTAAGCTCTGCTTTGGCCTTCGTTAACGTCTCCGGGTTGCACAGCAGCTCCGTTAGGGACCATTCGATCGCGCTGCTCGTAGTCTCTGAACCAGCCAAGAAGAGTTCCTGACTCAACCCAATTTTATATCAGAACTTGAGAGTTACTGTCACGCATTGGAATGTTAACTAGACTTACCAATATGAATATGTTGAGGGACTCTTCGTTTGTATCATTGTCCAGATGCTCAAGCAAGACATCCAAGAAATCCCTTTGCGCCTTCTCGCCAGTACTCTGCTTCTCTATGCGCTCTTTCACAAACTTGGAAGCGATTACTAAGGCTTTTCCCATATCTCTTTCCATGTTCCTTCGGAGGCCTTGAGGGTCCAACCACCTTAGCCAGGGGAACAAGTCCACCACGTTTGCGTGGCCCGTCCACTCCATCATACCCATCATCGCTGTGAAAAACTCCGACCCTTCGTTCGATTCAGGGTCGAACAAGTCACGTGACAGCATCAGGTTGCCCAGCAAGTTAAAGCTCATCAAGAAAACGTAGCGGGCCACGTGAAGGCCACGCCCCTCCTCTAACTTGTTGGCTTCTCTCGCGATCCAAACAAGCATGTCGTCGACGCATTTCCTTCGAATGTGAGCCGTCTCGTTGAGTCGCTTTGCGACCAACATGTCAACGGTGACGAGGCGTCGCATGATCCGCCAGTAGGAGCCGTAAGGGGCCAGGGCTAGGGAGGACTTGTCGTAGTTGTTGACGCGCATCATGTCGGTGATGGTTCGTTCGGCGAAGGAGAGATCATGGTTCTTGAAAAACTCGGCGGCCGTCTTAGTGGAGAGTATGGCCATGGTGTTGGTGGCGCCTATTCTGAGCCAGACGACGGGGCCGTATCGATCTTTGAGATGGGCCAGAGTGCGGTGAGGCATGGGTCCTAGCTGGAACATGTTTCCGAAGAGAGGCCATCCCGGCGGTCCCGGAGGAAGACGGCGCTTGGAGGCTGAGAGTTTGCGGTGGATGAGGAGCAGCACCACGACTGGCGATAAGAATAAGAGATACCACAGCGGGGAATCCAGAGGCCTCGCCATGTTTCTCGGAGCAAGAAGAGTGGGGTTGAGAACTTGAGATTTGCTGAGTAGAGGCCCCTCGCTGATTTCAAGTTTTGTTGTCGCTAATGGTACCGTGCCTCCCTCCCGTCTTAACGCGTTAGCTCGTTGAATAGCTGTTTCACTCACCTGCCAATCTTATTAATTTCACATGTTGAAAGGTTTTTTTTAATCAAAAAGGATAGTTTATTATGCAAGTGATTGAAATAGTACTCACTTTTGTCATATTTATAAACTTCCAATAATTAGTTTGAAAAACAAGCATATATATTTGGGAAAATTGCAAATAAAGACCCCTCAATATATAAAATAGCAATCAGGGACCCTGAATTTGAGAAATTGCTCACAAGGACCCGGTCCCAATTTGCAATTATGAAATCATGGCCAAATTACCAAAATACCCTCTGTTTTTCTCTCTTTCTTCCTCTCCAGATCATCTTCTTCCCGACCTTGCCTCCTCATTTTTCTCTCTCTCTTCGTTCTCTGTTTCCTTTCCAAGTTTCCTTCCCTCTCCTCACTCTTTTCCCAAAGTATATGGAACTCACAATGTCTTTCGGTGGTCCTCTCCTCATTGTCATCCCCCATCACTTTGTTCTTATCTTGCTTAGCTGCTCTTTTGTCGACAATGAAGCCTCTTCCATCATTCTTTCTGTTGCTGTGGAAGGAGAGGAGAGTCGGGAGTTTGAGGGAGAGTGACAGTCATTTGCAATGCTTGTAATGTTTGCTTGCAGTGTGTGCGGTGATTGCTTGGTGCTGAGACAACGCCCAATAAATCTGGATTTTTATTCTTCATTTCTATTTTGATTTTCAGCTTGTGTTCGTAATTGAAAATAACGAGTTTGATAAGTTGTTGAAAATAACAAGTTGACAAGTTCTGATACCCACTTCACGACAAGTTCAGTAATGCGAATAACAAGTTTAGCAAGGCGAATAACAACTTCAAATAAGCAATTCATAGAAATTCGAGTTTCTCTGTTAAAATGACAGCATTTTCAGATTTCTTTAGCAGATGACAAGTTCTGATACACAATTCATGACAAGTTCAGTAAGGCGAATGACAAGTTCAGTAAGGCGAATGACAACTTCTGATAAGCAATTCATAGAAATTTGAGTTTCTGTGTTAAAATGACAGGTTCCCAGTAGGTTTTCATACTTTTTCTGTTAAAATGACTGGATTTCCACATTGATTTATCAAATGACAGGTTTACAATAGAAAATGACAAGTTTTCATAAGATTTTTATGCTTTTTTTTTTGCTGGAATTACAATTTGCACATTTCTAACAGCAACAACTTCTGATAAATACGAAATGACAAGTTTAGAATGAAAAATGACAAGTTAAGTATAGCAAATGACAAGTTCCCACAATGTTTTCATACATTTTCATACTTTTCTGCTAGAATTACAATTTGCACATTTCTGACAGCATCCACTTCTGATAATTGCAAACAAGCTCTAAATTGTGGAAATCAAGTATGATGATTGTATTTCGGTGGAAAAATCGATCAAGGTGTGGTATGTGAGGAACAAACGAGCCCTAAATACAGTGCTAAACGAATAAAGTTCTCGTTTTATATGTAGAATTTGATGGTTTCTTGTTCATATGATGTGGCAATTTATATTTGGGATTTCATGGTTGAGGATGCACTTGTGAGTGGATATGATCATCGTAGTGCATTTGCCACTGGTGTTGATATGAGCATGCTTCTTGAGGGGCTTATGAGAGTTCTGGTGCTATAGTTTTATACATTAGGAGGAAATGAGAGTTGAAGTTGATGATGAAAGATGTTAATCAGAAGTGTTTGCTGTCAGAAATCTGAACATTGTTATTTCAGTAGAGAAATTTACATTTGTATGAAAACGTGATGAGAACTTGTCATTTTACATACTTAACTTGTCATTCGTTATTATGGACTCGTAATTTACTGTTTATCATAAGTGTTTGCCGTCAGAAATCTGCACATTGTTATTTTAACAGAGAAATTTACAATTGTATGGAAACGTTATGGGAACTTGTCATTTTACATACTTAATTTGTCATTCGCTATTGTGGACTTGTCATTTACTGTTTATCAAAAGTGATTGCTATCAGCAATGTGCAAATTGTAATCCCAGCAGAAAAAGTATGAAAAAGTATGAAAACATTATGGGAATTTGTCACTTGCCATACTTAACTTGTCATTTTCCATTATGAACTTGTCATTTCGTGTTTATCAAAAGTGGATGCTATTAGAAATGTGCAAATTATAATTCCAACAAAAAAGTATGAAAAAGTATGAAAACATTGTGGGAACTTGTCATTTGCTATACTTAACTTGTCATTTTTCATTCTAAACTTGTCATTTCGTATTTATCAGAAGTTGTTGCTGTCAGAAATGTGCAAATTGTAATTCCAGCAAAAAAAAGCATAAAAATCTTATGAAAACTTGTCATTTTCTATTGTAAACCTGTCATTTGATAAATCAATGTGGAAATCCAGTCATTTTAACAGAAAAAGTATGAAAACCTACTGGAAACCTGTCATTTTAACACAGAAACTCAAATTTCTATGAATTGCTTATCAGAAGTTGTCATTCGCCTTACTGAACTTGTCATTCGCCTTACTGAACTTGTCATGAATTGTGTATCAGAACTTGTCATCTGCTAAAGAAATCTGAAAATGCTGTCATTTTAACAGAGAAACTCGAATTTCTATGAATTGCTTATTTGAAGTTGTTATTCGCCTTGCTAAACTTGTTATTCGCATTACTGAACTTGTCGTGAAGTGGGTATCAGAACTTGTCAACTTGTTATTTTCAACAACTTATCAAACTCGTTATTTTCAATTACGAACACAAGCTGAAAATCAAAATAGAAATGAAGAATAAAAATCCAGATTTATTGGGCGTTGTCTCAGCACCAAGCAATCACCGCACACATTGCAAGCAAACATTACAAGCATTGCAAATGACTGTCACTCTCCCTCAAACTCCCGACTCTCCTCTCCTTCCACAGCAACAGAGAGAATGATGGAAGAGGCTTCATTGTCGACAAAAGAGCAGCTAAGCAAGATAAGAACAAAGTGATGGGGGATGACAATGAGGAGAGGACCACCGAAAGACATTGTGAGTTCTATATACTTTGGGAAAAGAGTGAGGAGAGGGAAGGAGACTTGGAGAGGAAAGAGAGAACGAAGAGAGAGAGGAAAATGAGGAGGCAAGGTCGAGAAGAAGATGATCTGGAGAGGAAGAAAGAGAGAAAAACAAAGGGTATTTTGGTAATTTGGCCATGATTTCATAATTGCAAATTGGGACCGGGTCCTTGTGAGCAATTTCTCAAATTCAGGGTCTCTGATTGCTATTTTATATATTGAGGGGTCTTTATTTGCAATTTTCCCTATATATTTATTATAAATAATTAGCTTAAATATTTTTATTAACATTTATAAATTGTTCTTCCAGTTCTGTTTGTAAGACAAACAGAAGAGGGTTTTTTTTTTGTTCTTAATATGAGTTATGTTATTAAATTTATATTAATGCACAATTTTTCCTATAATTTACTATTTTGTATGCCATTATTTTCTTGAAACATATACATTAATTGAAAAATTAATAAATTTTAAGATAGGACTAATAATATTGAAACTTTTTCTTAATATGATAAAACATAGTAGAAGGTGACTTGTAAATATAATACTATCAGCAAATTGGGACGAGAAGAAATGTGTCATTGAACAATTGCTTCTGGTCAACTAATGTCCATAAGGAGCATGACTCTTCTTACAAAACAAGGCTGTTCGTGAAAAACAACGCCATCTCATTTTCAGTATAAAAACGCTGCTCATGAATTTCAAACAAGTTTTGGGACACAATTTATTTTCTTACACATTTCAATATGCGGAGTTTGAATAACTAAAAGATTATAACTGAAAAAACCAACTTTAAATACGTAGTTGAGTTTGATTTTAGAATTATATATAATACTTACAAGAAAGCTATATTTTCATATTTTGACACGAGTGACGAGAGAGCTCAAGAGCTGCATGTATATGCTTATACCGCTGGTTTGTGAACAAAGATATGTGCAGGGCAATAATAAGGGAATACATCGCCCCAGGCGTTGCGCTTATCGCTTTCCCTGTTTCCACAATGCACAATGCCTCGCGTCTTTCAAACCCTGAGACATTCTGTTCGTGCAAGTCTCAGTGCCCACTGCCTTATCAACATTCTTGCGTGTGTTTGGGAGAGAGGGGTACTTAAGTTTTATTACACCCAAAATAAGACTGGCCTTTTGTTTGTTTTTTAACCATGAAGACTCGTTTAATAGAAGGATGCTGAGCCCACGTTAAAGGCTGGGGAAAGGAGAAAGAAGGCGAATGGGTTATAATATTCATCACTTTAATAAGCATTATACACTTATTAAATTACCAACAGGGGTTTGGTCCAGCAGCAAGGAGTAGTCACTCATAATGTGGTAAACCAAGGTTCGAATCCCCGCTGTGAGAGATGCCCACATTTAGTGCCCGACAATGTTTCGAATAAGATTGCCTCCAATAGGAAGATAACTATGTTTTAGCAAAAAAATAAATAAATAAACTTATCAGATTTGGATTATTCAGATTTCATTTGGATTGTTCAGATTTCATTTCTATTTCTATTTTTATTTATTTAAAATAATTATTTCAATAAGTATAAAGTATAAAATAAAAATAACGTTTTGACTATCATTTTTTCAAGAAATAATTTTTTATTTAAAAATAATTAATTAAAAATTAAAAGTCTATACTATTTAAATAAGATATGAATAATTCAAATATCATAAATTTAGATTATTCATCAGACGATGAATACTAAATCTGGTTGAGGGGGGGGTTGGGAAATTAATTCAAGATTGGGATTTGGGAGATACTCCATTATATGCACGAGATCCAAGAGGAGATGCATTTAGAAGAATCCCCACAAAAAGGAAGTAAACAAACAATCCAAGGGAGAGTTTCTTAGAAGCAGCGTTGCCACGCCATTATATGACTCGAAACCGGGTGAACCCGTTCCCGTGCGGCTGAGTTGGCACTGTATGAATAATACTCTTTCTTATTTTTATTATCAGCTTTAAATAACTAATTCATAAATAAGAAGTAATTCAAATTAGTTTAAAAGAGGAAGTACTTTAGAAATATATTTTTATTTGTAAATATACCTCTATAATAAATAAAAAATATAGAAAAATGTGATAAGAAATAAATAATTATGAATAATATTGAAAAATATATATTAAATGTTAAGACAAATTTAAATTAAAGTTATAAAATAAACTACACTTGTATAAATTTAAAGTTTACATATAGTGACGGTGAGAGTAATAATCTGGATTGAGTATTATAAAGATTTTACACGCGACAACCATACCATTATCGGCGGAAGGAGCAATCCAACCTACGTTATTTACTATACTCCCACCCCCGGACCAGTCCCTCAAGATACGAATATTTCAACTTTCGATTAATTTTATTTTACACGGAGATCTGTTCTCTCGCGGGCTATATCTAAAACAAAGCCCATTTCGGAGAAAAGAAAACGACAAGCCCTTCTAGGGCTTAGGCCTTCCCCTGCAACCCCAAAAATCAAAAACTAAAAACGGAAAAGCCCTTCCACTGTGCTGGCGGTAAAATCTGAGGCAGTATTTCGCGCAGAAGTGATACGGCCACTTCGGAAGCTGACGGTCGGATGATGGTAAGCGGAGGGGCGCTGCTATACAAGTTATACAGGGCTCTGAGCTACGGTGTTTCACCGTTGGTTCACCTTCACTTGCGGTGGCGTCGATTCCGGGGCCTCGAACACCCCCACCGCTGGCCGGAGCGTCTTGGTCATCCTTCTCGGCCTCGCCCTCCGGGACCTCTCATTTGGTTTCATGCCGTTTCATTAGGTTTACCTCTATCCATAGTTGGAGATGCCTAGCCTCAACTTTACGATCGAAAACCGCTATAACTGCATTCTTTGTTTCGCTTACCTTCGTTTCATACTGAACACTTTGGTATTTATACTCGAGCAACTAAGATGCCAATTACAAAATAACAGCGTGCTAAATGTCCTCAAAATGCTGGAATGGAGTTCGCTTACCTTCGTTTAATACTGAACACTTTGGTATTTTCAGGTGAAGGAATGGCGGCCCTTCCTGTAGTCAAACAGTGCATCCAGAGGATCCCTAACTTAACCATATTGATGACCACGACAACAATGTCTGCATTGTAAGAGAGGACTTGGTCTTTGTCGAACTAGTTGTGACTTGATTGATGCAGCTATCTGCAATTTTTTTTTCCTTTTTGATATGGAAAACCATAAGAAGAGCTAAGAACTTGGTTACAAGTTTAGTTGCTAGTGGAATAGGTGCAACTGTCATATAGCGGATGATTTAAGTTTGACGTTAAGTAATTACGATGCTCTTGCATGTCCTTTGGCCACAGTGAAGCGATTGTCGAGTATTTTCAATTAAATTAATTAGTAAGTCGTGATGTCTGGTTGTACTTCACATCTATCAAACCAGACGCTGTCTAAGAGACTATAGCAGCAACTTTATCTCTTCTGGTGTTTCTTGATATGGATGTTCCTTTAATTTACTTTGCAAGAAGAGAAACAATATTTCTATCCTTATTTTATGGGGTTTCCTTTTGATGTAATGCAGTCAAGTTCTAAACAATTGGCTTCCGAATGAAATCATTTTCCAGGTATTTTATCGGGGGATGTTTATGTGGTTTTGGTAAACTGTTTATGTGACACTGTCCTTTTCTAGAATTAAGTTTATTGCCATGGTCAATAGCAAAATGACCTCATATAGTTAAACTTCTGAAACACTTTAAGCTATACTGAACCTGACAATTGATGTAAGTAAATAGAATGGGGAAAGAGAATTTTTAACGGAGTTGGGGTGCAATAATTCATTATTTTGGGTGTGTAACCTATGGGCTTTCTGTCTACTGGGATTCATTCCTTAGATTAATTTGAGAAACAGAGAGGCGAGAGCCACTGTTAGTTTTACTCATTTTTCTGAAACAATTTTTTCATGCCCTCAAATATCCAAACTGTGCTTTGATTTTTGTTTTTTTTAAAAAAAAAAGCTCAAACACTCAATATAATGTCAACTTGGTTGTTGAGGCAGTAATTTCAGGGTTGTATTTTTTTTAGGACAAAGGACCTAATGGACTCTTGAAATGACTTCCTCCACAACTTTACTTATTCTCATCCACATATATATCCCTTGCTAATAGCAGTTACTAATGTATATTTGATGGCTTGGAATGCCTTCCTGCACACGGATGCTTATTTTCATCCACTTATATCTCTCATGCTAATACATATTTAATGGCATTAAGCCATTAGTTGATTTCTTCATCTTTTTTACTTCTAGTTTGCCATATTCGGTTTAACACATTATTTTTTGTCTGAAACTGCCTGATGTATCAGCTTGCACCAGTTGATGCTCCCGCTTCCATACATTCCTTCCTTCGTTACTGGAAACCTCAAGCAATTGTACTAATGGAAAGTGAACTATGGCCAAATCTTATTATGGATGCTTCCAAAAATGGTGTGAGTTATTCTTTCTCGTTAGTCCAAGTACTCTGTGGTACTTATGGGTGTTCAAGTGAAAACACTGAAATGTATAATACTTGCATATGCATGTCAATTATACAGCAGACTGCATTTTTATAGTAGATGATTGTTAAGAGCACGTGAGAGCTGCTTGTTACGCAATAGTCTGTTAACACAAAATATTTCAATTGTATTTCTCTTTTAGATGCATGTATCATATCACATGGAGATGGTTGCACTTATTCTTATTAATTATAATGGATTTTCCCCTTCAGATAGCACTTGTACTGTTAAATGCCCGGATGTCAGAAAAATCCTTTAAAGTGTGGTCAAGATCATTGCTTCTGCCATTAATTTCTTTAATGCTATCAAAGTTTTCCTTGATTTGCCCATTGGTAAGCACTCCTTTTCTTTTTGGACTAGAATGATCATGTCTTCTATTATGCAATCTGACAATTTTTATTTTTGAATGTCATAGAGTACAGCTCAGGCTATCCGTTTTCAGCTACTGCAAGCTGCTCCTTCTGTCATAAGCTTTTCTGGTGACCTAAAATATGGCATGCTTCTATTTCTTTTTTCCTGTATCAAATGATATTTAAAATTTAATGTCGATATTAATGCACCCTAGTATTAGACATTGATTTTCTCTCATTGCTTGGGAAGCTTTCCTAGCAATGTTATGTGTGTAATTGATATCCATTGTGTTGATGTCTTTAGTAACCAGTTTACAATTTGTTTTCCCCCTTGCGTTTTTTATAAGATTCTGGGACTATTTGAAGTGGTAAATGGTATGCGCTAATCTTGTTTCCTTACTATTTTCATTCAGTAATAGAAGATTTAGGAGTCAGTGAAGGACAGAAAAGTATAGACAAACTGAAAGCACAGCTTTCCTGCTGCCAGGTTTGGATGGCATCCTCCATTCATAGGGGAGAAGAAGAAAGTTCGTTCCCTCCACTATGCCTCTGATTATATCATTCAATGAAAATGAATGTTGAGAGTATTGTGTGTGCTCTGCAGTAATATTTGGAGCTCACAGAGTCCTCATGCAACTACTGCCTAATATAGTCACTATTATTGTACCTCGGCATCCAAGACATGGACAAGAGATTGCTGAAGTAAGTTTTTTGGCAAGTCTTTACCCCTGCTTCTATCTCATGCATTTCCTTCAAAGCATTTTCCTTTGTCTGCCTGTAACACAGAAAGCCCCTGTTAATATGAAAACCCCTTTTAATTTATCTGCGGTGGAAATATGATTGGGGTTAGTGTTCTCATGATAAATTAGTTTTGTGTAATTGCTTTGAAACTTCCATTTTTACTATAGCATTAATACTTATTATGTCAATTTTTTTTAACCCCCTTTGCATTGCACTGGGTTAGTACCGAGTTCCTAGTAATGCACAAACGAGTAATGATGTGTAAACTGTAAAATGTAAACCCTTTAATTCACATTCAACAGAAATGATGCTCATAACAAATTACTGTCATGCTATATGGCATTTTGCATCATTTGTAAAATTTATTTATTATGCTTAAATTCATGTAGTGTAGAAATTGGAGAAAGAAGGACAGAATGTAGCTTTGAGGTCTCAGAATGAGGAGCTTAAGCCCGGAACGCATGTTTATGTGGTGGACACTTTGGGTATGTGTGCGTTTTGTGTAATTTTCAAACTTCATCAATATCCTGCATTGTTGAAACTATCATTAACTGAGATATCTAATCTCGATGTATTGTAGTGGTCATTAACTCATTATATGACTGAGAAATAAGTCGGACATTGGTACGTATGGGTAACACAATTTTGCATTCATAACATTAAGTTATTATCCAATTTCTTTTGCAGGTGAGTTAAGACGCATGTACACATTGACACCAATCGCTGTGATTGGAGGTTCTTTCTTCCCTGATTTTGCTGGTCATAATATTTCTGAAGCTGCTGCAGCTGGCTGTGCTGTTTTGACAGGTGAATCTCATACTTTTTATAGTTTTGAACAGGCTGGTTGAGAGCCTGAAATTCGTTATTATTGGTTTTAGGCTGCCACATCGGGCATTTCTCCCATATGGTGCAGGAAATGCAACGACTGAACCCCTTGTCAGTCCTTCAGGTTGGAATTCGTCCGCTTGCTTATAATAGAAAACTTTCCAGGCTAGGAATATTCTAGTCTCTTTTCCAGAGCCGGTCTATTCATCGTCACTCTGCTTGCAGGTTTCTGGAAAAATGGAGCTTGAAAAGGCTCTTATCGAGCTCTTCGCAGATGAAGCAGTTTTGGAAGCACGACGTAGGGCTGCAAAAGAAGCATTTAATCATTTGTCCAGCGATATTATTGCTAGAATCTGGAGCTCGTTAGAATTTCATATCTTCCGTAGGCTATCGGCGGTGGGCATCGAGATTAACGCCAGACGCGACAAAAATGAAGGTGAAAATGAAATCTCACCAATTAACAGCGACTTCTGATCTTCCGGAGATTGAAGATGCCACAAGCATTCGGATAACATCTATTTCTTCCCGAGACACAGGAAATCGAATGCAACCCCCCCTTTTTTTTATTTTTTATTTTTAGTGTGCCTCTGCGATTTTTTCTCGACATTCATGGAGGATCTGTGTATAGCATACCAGCTCAAGTAGGGTTTTAGTTAGTCAACAGGACTGGCCTCTATAGGATTCTTTCACCATTGCGCTGTGAAAAGTTAAAAAGCAGAGCTTTGAAGTAATCCCCAAATGTTACCAACAGGATGGAGCCTCTATTTTACGAGACAGACATGACGTTGGAGGTTCCATTTTCTGTAGCTCGCACTTCTTTTAATATTGGTTCGCTTCGCTCAATTTAATTTTATTGATGCATTAAGGTGCCCTGCAGGAAAAGGAAAATCTTCCTCCTTCCCTCCAGGTAATTTTTCAGTGATATGAATAAGTCCGACCGAAGTCCGTACAAGAGTTAAAAATACTGAGAAAAAGATAATTAAGGATGTTATAAGGAAATTCATATAAAATAATGATTTATTTCTATTTAAAATTGTGAAAATTTCAACTCAAACTTCTATATTTGAAGGTCTTCGTTTTAGTTTTTAATTATCATTCTTCCTAGAATATGACGATGGTTTTAGATTATTGAAGTTTAGCCCGTATAAAGCGAAATAATACGGGCAGCGAATAGGTAGCTTCTCTCGTTCATGGCGGCTTTATATTAATCTAAGGTCATTATATTTTAATCAGAACGCGAATTATAATCCTCTAACGCAGTCGAAGAGCTACATTAATAAAGATGGCCGCAAATTGACCGCAGCATTACATTTTCTTTTAGAAAAAATAAAAGCGCATAGCAAAAGCCACTGATGAGTGATGACTGACTGCATATATCGCTTGAAGAGCATTAGCTTTTACACTGCATAAAACAAAAAGAAAAAATTGGAAAAAAAAATCTGGTCAAGCTCCAATAAGAGGAATCCTTCATGAATGGCGATCCGTTCATTGGCGTCACTTGCTCTAAAAGGATCCTGCCGAGTTCAGGCTAAATATTATTATTTTTACTTAATTTCATAATTCTATTACTGAATTATGTCTGCTAATGGATTTATGCGTGTAGCATGTGATAATCAATACATAATATAATCCTTTCATTAAGTAATTAAAACCTTTTACTCTCACTTCTCTATTTTTTCCAAAAAAAAAAAAGATTAAAATCTCCCCGGTCTCCCCCTTCAACCAAACAGGCGTAAGCTTGGTTTACGCCTTTACGCACATTGTGACTTGCTCAATCACTCATCGAGATGATATGTGTGTGTATATATCCAAGAGAAATAATGCTATTTCCTCAACATTTGGATCTCACGTATCATAATGCTTTTTTTGTCTCCCGGGAATTCCTTTCCGCTTCTGTTGTTTTCCCAAACCCATGCTCAAGCAAGCTTGTCACTAAATAGGTGCGCGGGTATGTCAAATTTCACAGCAGCCTTTGCAATTTGTAATTTGACCCACCGACACTCCTGTTGTCTCTCTCCGACGAGTCATATCTTTGTCACAGACAAGAACCTCTTGTCTTCGACGACGACTGAGACACACATGGCTTGTTTTGTCTCCAACGTTCACGGTCGACACTCCAGATATGAAGCCAGTGACTGCAGAATTCTCCAAGTCCGGCTCGTATTTAATCAGAAAGTACCTAAACAGCCTAACCCTTGCAATGTGCTCCACTTCCCAATGATCAACACGGAGGGAAGATGTTTGATTCCACAGTACTGCCTCTCTTTTTTTGGGTCTTGCTGACTCGGATTGATAAAGATTTCACATTTAGAACGCCAATCTCGCCTTCAATCTGTGCTTCTTCATTATTTCTTTATTGGTGATAAAGCAGAGGAGAATTGAACTGTAGCGACAACTAACAAAATAAAAGGGAAAAGAAAAAAGAAAAAGCTGAAACATTTCCCTCACTTTTTGCGACAGGATTGCATTACCATATTGGTAAAACTTCAAAGCTGAGAGAATTCAGATGTTTGTACCTCTCTGGTTGCCCCACCCATGTGCCATTTATCCTATCCGTCGTTCGTGTTTTCCCCAAGACCCATAATAACAGAACAGGAAATAGGGGCAAAAATACGCGAATAATTTTCTGGCTATGTTCAGCATTTCCTTTTAAGGAGTAATTAGTAAGGAAAAGATCAGAAGAAGAAAAAGAAAATGAGCCTGCATTGGTCATTTGGGCTGCTCACTACAATTCTGAATATTTTGTCATTTCTGTTTTGAATTTGGTGTTGCATCCAGCCACAAAAATTTGAGTTTGAATTTGAACTTTAGTCATGACCCTTGAATTTGCATGTCTATTATTGAGTCCCATCACTTCAGTTTAGTGTGAGAATAACTTTGCTGCTTCATGACCTAAAAGTAGAGACCTCTTTTTTTTCCTCTCCGACATGGAAAAGAGAAGTAGTTGCTGACATATCAAATAATGAACCAGCACCTTTAGGCCATAGCCTCAAAAAGTTGGCCGTCCCAATATAATTAAACAGCTTCTTCCTTTGGTTAAACTTATGAGCAGTGAAAGTTGCTCAGATAAATAGCATAATTTACAGGGTCGTAGCCTCAGTGGTTCACAACTCAGCGCAGAGTAGGATCTTATTAATTCGAAAGGGGCCTCTTTGATATGAAAAACATCATTAAATTCATATTTATTGTCGGTGAAATTAAGACGGACCATTGACTTTCAAGTGCTTTCTCCCCCTCTCCAAAATAATTCAAATGGGGGAGGGGGGAAGGGAAGGGTAGGACTCACTGCTCAGGACGAAAATAATAAGCAGAGCCACATGTAACAGAATGATAGAATGCCCATATTGCTGAGAAAAAAAAACTTTTCTGAGGAAGAGCGAAGATATTACCGACTTTTTTTATATTATTGACCTTTTGAGTGATTAGCGAGTACAATCCGGAGAAAAGCAAAAGCAAACGGAGCAAAGGAATTGCCAAAATTATTTAGGATGGACAGATGATAATCAGCCCTTTTCGCCCAGCAATCAGTACAATAATAACCCGGGAATTCAACCTCCAGCAGGGTAAATTTATCATGCTCATCGTCATTGAAATATTATCAAACGCCATCATTGTAGATGGTAGCTGCCCTCTATGCACCTCCTATAGATGGGAAAGTTGTAACCGCAAGTCCATCATTTTTGCTCTAATAAAGATAACAGTACAGCGCTGCAGAGTAGACGGTTAGGGCCTAAATGACTAGAATCAAACAAGATTACCACTCATTTATTGGTTTATTTCTCAGTATTTCATTAACTTTCAGCACTATCCATCACTTTATCGTTTAATCTATTTCCGTATACCACAAAAGATCTGGTTAATAACGAGGAGTTAGATTATATTATATTAGTAAGATCATGAGAGAGCAAAGGAGCAGAGCACATGGATCAAGAAGCATAAACATGTTTTTTAACCCTTTACAGAATAGGCCAAAACAGAAGGAAAAAAGAAGCGACACCTTTGGTCCTCATTCTATATCTTATGGAGTGCATAACAGCAATCATTCACACAACCACCCCCACCTTCCTAATCCCATAGCCGCTGTCACCCCTTTAATCATGATATTCCTTCTCTCCTAACAGAAAAAATTCTTCTATTTTGTCTTTTGATTTACACGACACAGAGAAAGGGTATGAGAATCTCCTTCCCTTTCCTTTATTTTTAAAACTCTGCCATTATTTCTTCTTCTTCCCGCCGGAGCACGCACACAAAGCTCTGCACTCTTCATAACATGAACAAGGCTTTTCCTCTAAACTTTGCATTGGCCTTGGCCCTGGCCTTACTTTGTTGTGTCACACAATCTCTGGGCTCAACCCAAAACGACACTCACGCTCTCACTCAATTCCGCCTCCAAGCTGATTCTCATGGCTATCTTCTCGTCAACTGGACCGGCGCCGACGCCTGCGCTGCTTTTTGGCGCGGCGTTCAGTGCTCCCCTAATGGCCAAGTCGTTGGCATCTCGCTCCCTTCTCTTAGTCTCCGAGGACCGGTCGATGCTCTGTCTTCGTTAAGCTACTTGCGCCTCCTTGACCTCCATGATAATCGCTTAAACGGCAGCGTTGCGCCTCTCTCTAACTGTACCAGTCTTGAACTTCTTTATCTCTCCGGGAATGACTTCTCCGGCGAGATACCGCCGCAGATAGCTTCGCTCACGCGTCTGCTCAGGCTTGACGTCTCTGACAACAACATCCGAGGTCCTATCCCTAAGGAACTGTCCAAATTGACAGCGCTTCTCACGCTTAGGCTACAAAACAATGAGCTTTCGGGACATATCCCTGATCTTTCTGTTTCCCTGCTCAAACTCAAGGAGCTCAACATGACCAACAACGAATTCTATGGAAGCTTACCGGATGGCATGTTGAAGAAATTCAGTGACGTAAGTTTCTCTGGGAATAAAGGTTTATGTGGATCAAGCCCATTGCCGATTTGTTCCGCCGCAGCAGACAATTTTCCTTCTTCTTCAGCATCGGCTCCAACAGCTCCTTCTAAGCCAACCTCGATGCCCCAAACAAGCGCAACTCCTCCTCCAAAACGCCAACCTCGAAAGGGATTAAGCACCGGAGTTATTGTAGCCATTGTGGTGGCGAACTGTGTGGCATTGCTGGTAGTGACTTCTTTCATCGTTGCTCATTGCTGCGCCAGAAGACGAACCTCCGATTCTATGTTGGGCAGTGAGATTGGCAAGAGGAAAAGCGGGAGTAGCTATGGAAGTGAAAAAAAGGTGTACGCCAGTGGGTGTGTAGACAGCGACGGAACCACCGGAACCGACCGGAGCAGGCTTGTATTTTTTGATAGAAGAAGTCAATTCGAGCTGGAAGATTTGTTGCGAGCATCGGCGGAGATGCTGGGAAAGGGGAGCTTGGGAACAGTGTACAAGGCAGTGCTCGATGATGGATGTACCGTAGCGGTTAAGAGACTCAAAGACGCAAACCCATGTGCGAGGAAGGAGTTCGAGCAGTACATGGATGTGATTGGAAAGCTCAAGCACCCCAATGTTGTGAGGCTCAGAGCTTATTACTATGCACGAGAAGAAAAGCTCCTCGTTTATGATTATCTCCCCAACGGAAGCTTGCATTATCTTCTTCACGGTTAGTCTTGATCTCAGGCTTCTATTTGTTCTCGATATGATTCCTTGAGTTCATACAATCTGACATGATTATCAATTTGATAGGGAACCGTGGCCCAGGAAGAATCCCACTGGATTGGACTACAAGAATAAGCTTGGTTTTGGGGGCAGCCAGAGGACTTGCTCGGATTCACGCTGAATATAGTGCAGCAAAAATACCCCACGGCAACATCAAATCTTCCAATGTTGTCCTCGACAAGAATGGCGTTGCTTGCATCTCTGACTTCGGCTTGTCTCTGCTATTAAACCCTGTTCATGCAATTGCAAGATTGGGCGGATACAGAGCTCCCGAACAAGAAGAGAGCAAGAAGCTGTCTCAGCAGGCAGACGTGTACAGCTTCGGTGTCTTGCTGTTGGAAGTTCTCACAGGTAAAACCCCATCCCAGGAGCCTTCACCGACACGTCCTAGGTTGGTTGAAGAGGAACAAACCGTGGATCTCCCCAAATGGGTGCGATCTGTAGTGAAGGAAGAATGGACAGCGGAAGTGTTTGATCAAGAACTGTTGAGGTACAAGAACATAGAGGAAGAGCTGGTGTCCATGTTGCATGTGGGGTTGTCGTGTGTGATGGCAGAACCAGAGAAGAGGCCAATCATGGCGGAAGTTGTTAAGATGATTGAAGAGATCAGGGTGGAGCAATCTCCTCTGGGCGAAGACTATGATGAGTCTCGCAATTCGCTTTCACCTTCCCTTCCCACCACTGAAGATGGACTAGCTTAAGATTAAAGAGTATTCTCTGCCAGGTATTTCGATGCATTATCTCGTTGCACCTTGCCTGATTTTTAGCTATCATTTGTATCTAGTGGCCAGCTGTTCAAATTCTACTATTTCATGTGTTCTTTGTAAAATTTCCAAGATTTGAGGAACTTCCGTCATTGCACGTAGGATAAATCTGACGATATTGTGGTGGGGCTTAGAATAATATTACCTGTTGTTTAGGTTGAAAAGTAGAACGTTCCTGGACTTGGAGATGTTTTGTTTTGTATCCGTGCTGGGTGGTGAGACGTACTGATCTATTTGTTGTTATGACCCAGGGCAGCAAGCCAGCAATATTTGCATGGAATTAGGGTAACGAGACAAAATAAGTTTAAATATTTTATTTTCAAAAGCTAAGTATGCGAATAATGGTTTATTATCAGCTTAAGACACATGGGCCATGGCCATTAATTCAAACTCGGCAGTTGGGAGGGTTAATCAATGGGCCAGAAAATGAGCATTTCTTGGCTATTGGAATTGCCGTCCTCTGAAAAAACAAAATCTTATCTGAATGTTTGGAAGTACCCCTCTTATTTTATTTATAACTTACTTCCTGCATGTTTCATAGAAAAAAGATTTTATTAACTTTTATTTAAAATTTAATAAATTTTCAACTTTATTCTATTCAATATATTATACCTAATTAACACAATAATAAATAAGGGGTACAATTATACATTTATATAAAAAATTTCTCTTAATACCCTATAAATAAAAACATAAAATGTATTCTCTCTCGCTTATAAATAAGACCAGAGAGTAATACCGAAGTTTATTGAAATTACGAAAGCCCATACAATGGAGGACATCAACCCAAACCCCCCCCCAAGAAAATCAGTGAATGCATGAGGCCTTGCTACATCTTATTTTCAAAAAAAAAAAATCCCGATTTTCCATCCCTTAAGCGACATGCTTAATCGACGGATCGAGTTTATGATATTTGTATTCTTTGTTTTAGAGGAGGAAGGTTCTAAAGTTGCCTAACAATTGCTGGTTAAAAAAAAAAGAAAGTTGCCTAACAATAATGTTGAATTTTTTGATCTTTGAGCCTAAATGTGACCAATAACTTTCCGCTGGCAGTGCCCAGTTGGCTCATTGCTCGAGTGTGTTCAACCAGTTTTCTTATTTCTGTAGCTCATCGCACAGCGCCATTGACATTTTCCAATTATGTGGACAACCTCTTCTTTGGATGGGTCTGGGGAAGGGGAGAACGTAAAAAATTAAGGTGGCGGGCTTATTCAAAAGTCGCATTGACGGCGCAACATGGAAATCGGAGAAACATGTGTTAGTTCAGAACAACTCTAATCATAATATTGCGGACTCTGAATGGAATTGGACAAGAACAAGCTCTCTGTTGATGCGCAAACCGGGGTCAATTTTTTGGCCCATAACGAAAAACGGACACCTCAATGCTTATTCGAACGGTCCACTTCCCTCCATTTTGATGCTACATTCTCATCTGTTGGTTCGTCTATGGCGACACGACCAGAAAACGAACAAAAGTCGTACCAAAAAACAAATGACCCCACGCCGCTTGACAATTGAGTCCTTCCACTTCATCACAACTACTCTTCCGGTTTTAAATGTAAAATCAATATACTAATATATATAAATGTCTTATATTTAAGACTGGAGGAGTATATTTTTTCAGCCTAGTTTCGCTAATCATAGCATAAAACAAGTCTGATTAAATTACGTAATCTCCCACGTCCTGCCAAGCAAGTGGGCAAACAAATTTTTTGGCCACGGAACTTAATTTGTTATAAATTTTATGTTTATATTTTTTTTAACTGCAATTTTATGTTTATATTAATGATCAAACAATGATGTGAATATTTTCACATTTTATACTTTTTCTACAGACTACTTTATAACTCGTCTTGTCATTAACATTTAGTTTGAGTATCTTTTTTACATAATGAAAAGTCTGTGATTCGTCACAGCCTTGTCTTGTCTCATACACTCCAAATATTGAATTTTATGGCTTATTTAATACTATGAGGCGAAAAAAAAATCCTTTAAAAATATCTCTAAAATTTTAAAGGAATGACTACAAAACTGTATTGTCGTTTATTTTTTAAATATCGTCAATTGTTATCAAATGCAGTGAAATATTACTTTCAATTTTTAATATAAGATTCCAATCTATTTTGTCTCTCATATTTATATAATTTTTCATAAGATAATCATTCTAATAATTGTAGTTTTAACCAACACACTTGATTAGTAAGGATATTTTAAGAAAGACAATACCCATTCGTTACAAATAATCAACTTAATTTATTTTTTAATTTTTTTAAATTAATCAACTAGTCCTTAATTTTATAATATTTCACTGTCATGACATGCTGAGGGGAAAAAAATAACCTTGGAGGCTTCCAAGAGCCAACCATAAACGACGGCTCAAAGAAATTGACCCCTGGTGAGGCTGCACCTTAAGCCCACGTGGCTGACCAGGGAGAAAGAGGCCCCACCCTCCCGCCATATTTTCCGCGTCTATGCCACGCGTCACATGATGCGTGCTTCGCCCCTCCAGACTAGACCATGCTCCGTTGGGACCGTTACCTCGTGACACCCACCAAATAATCGCACGGTGCCGTACACCACAAAGCGACTGCTGCTCGTGGGGTCACTCCAACATCCCCCTCTCTATCTGGCCGATCCTGAAGGAGCTTAAAAAACGTAGTTTCGGTCCTATGTTGGTTCCTTTGATTGATTAATAAATGCTCTAATTATATTATTACCATATAAATATAAGATGTTAATCAATTTTATTAATCATATCTAATTTATTTTTTAAGATAGTCTTTATAATAGTTATATATATTAAAATTTTTATTAAATAGTAGTTTTAGCAAATACATATAATCAGCAGGTTTATTTTATGAAAGACGATACTTATTTATTATAAATAAGTAATTTAGTAAATTTTTTTAATCTATTTAAATTAGGCAACTAGCTTTATATTAAAGACCAAAGGTAGTATAATAACAACACGATCAACGTATCATTTAACTTAAACAATTATTTTCATGTATAAAAATTATAAGGATTGGTTGAAAAAAAATAAAGTAATCCTTCGATCCTTGATATAAAACATAATTAACTAATTTGAATAAATTAAAAATATTGATTATATTAGTTAATATGATACTACTTTCGGTCCTTAATATAAGAGTTAGTTGACTAATTTAAGTAGATTAAAAAAGTTTGTTGAATTAGTTATTTGTAATAATTAAGTGTTATCTTTCCTAAAATATTCTTGCTAATCATACATTAGCTAAAACTACCATTTGATTGAACTTTTAATATATACAACTACTATAAATGCTACTTTGAAAAAATAAATAAATATGAAAAACAAAGTGTATTAGAGTCTTATATTTAAAATCAAATTAAAAGTTAAATTAGTTATTATGTTAAGGACATAAGGTAGTATATTCTTTTTAAAATATTCTAATTATTTTTCTAAATTCTCTCCCATTTTTATGAGAAAAAATAAATAAAAATATAAAATAGGTGTCGTGTATAAAACTAACAACGCCTGTTAAATTCGGTGCTACGATAAGAAGTGGAGGGGCATGACAAAAGAATTGCGAAAATCAACCGTGATGTAAGCTCTGGTGAGAGAAAAAAAAAAAGCCGTGATGTAAGCGACCTGGCACAGGTTGGGAGTAGGTTTAGGTTTTTCAAAAGTGTGACAATGGAAAGCTCGAGCTCTTCATGGCTATTTGTTCTAATTAAAATAATACTAAGGAATTGGGCTTTACCGTTTGGCTTGCTTGCAATAATGGGTGTCCCATAAATTTGGTGGTTAAAAAAATGGCTAAACGGAGAAAGCCTAGTGGGGAAGCAACGTGAGCGCATAGGCATATTCTTCGCTTTTGATGTTTGAAGCTTTTCTCCAAACGAGGGAGGGTCGCATAACGCCCCCCCTGTTCTGAACGAACTTCCTTCTTCCTCATCATCCTCCCCTTTTCCTCTTCCACAGCAGTTGCTCGGGTCTCGAAGCCACCGATAAGCAAACATGCATTCCACTAACTTGCTTCTTGAAGAACCTATTAGGATGATCTCTATTATAGAGCCATCCAAGCCTGTGAGTTTCATTCTGTTATTTTCTCATCTTTTTCTCTTCTGTTCGTTTTAATACGGGACACTTCGAATGTCTGTCAAGATGGATCCATGGCGTGCTGTTGGGGGGCCTTCTCTTTTCTTTTTAATTTCTTAATTGGATTTGAGCTTTGATTCATATTTTATCTTCCTATATTTCTCGTTCTTTTTTAACCTTTCCAGAGCTTCTTTCCTGCAATGACAAAAATCGTTGGTACACTGGGTCCCAAATCTCGATCTGTAGAGGTTATTTCTAGCTGCCTCAAGGCTGGAATGTCCGGTATGACACTATGCTACCTTTTGTCATCCTCCCGTGCTTTCAATCCTGTTTCATTTCTTCGTAAACTTATGGCCTCCCGCCCGGCGCCCGGTAGATGACTAGCATTTTGTTTTTATGGCGGTAACATGACTGGAGAGGCTTTACATGGATTGTTTATTATTTCTTGTAGTGGCTCGTTTCGACTTCTCTTGGGGTGATGTGGAGTATCATCAGGAGACCTTGGAGAATTTGAAGGCCGCTATCAAGAGCACTAAGAAGCTTTGTGCTGTGAGTTTCCTCCTGTGCTTTCCTGAGGCGTTGGTTTAAATAAAAGCAGAAAGTCGCTGCCTTGACGGTCGTGACAATCCATTGTTAATTTTTACGTTGACTGCCTGAGCCATCTCAAATTGTGCTTCACCAATTTCTGCAATTGTGCTTATCCATTTCTCTTGGTTTTTTATTTATATGTTGGAGGAGTTGATTGTTCGTCACTCTATGCATTTGTCAGGTTATGCTGGATACAGTGGGTGCAGAGATGCAAGTTGTTAACAGAAGTGAGACATCTATATCCCTTCAGGCAGATGGTCTTGTTGTCCTTACTCCGGACAAGGGGAAAGAAGCCTCGTCAGAGATATTGCCTATCAATTTTGATGGACTAGCAAAGGTTCATTGTTATTCTCTGACTTCCGTCCTCATGCCAAGTTGTTATATGGGGTGCATGCCTGGAGTCGATCGTGTCAATGTTATCATAACCCTGCTTTTTAAATGTCTGTGTTGATTTGAACTCAATGTTAAATGTTTCTTCTTATTATTTTCAGTCAGTGAAGAAGGGAGATACTATTTTTGTTGGTCAATACTTGTTCACCGGCAGTGAAACTACTTCTGTATGGCTGGAGGTAACTTCAAAAAATATACCAATATGTATCTATTGTTTTAGTTCTCTTTTATTCTTTCCTTAAATAACCTGCT